GTTAGTAGTGAAAGAGGGGTGCTTTACAACAGCTTTTTACACAAGCTGTACATTATTAGAATTATCAGGGGGAAAAAACCCAAACAAGTAACCCCTATAACTGAGCATACCCCAAGTAATGGTCAAATCTGGAAAACTACACAAATACTAATGGTCTTCCTGGCTAACTGCATGTTTAATCAAGAATCTTTAAAATAACTGTATAGTCATTTCTTAAATGGTTTGCATGCCTTTAATCATGGTGATTTATTTATTTATTGCTCCCCATTTCTCTATTGTTTATCTGTGTGGTCTGTGTCTGGTTTTTTTATTTTCTTTGGCTGATGTATAAGTAATTTTGCTGGTGAAAAACAATTCAGGTGGTGGGATCTAATTTGTTAGATAATGGACTAACATTATGTTAGGATTCATTAGTTAAATTACAGTAAAATGATTGATTAAAGGCATAGCTGAGAATGAGGTGATACTGATATGTGTATGTTATAGGTGTTTCTCTATTTCAGATTCTTCAGAGTTTCAGAAAACTATTTTCTCCCAAAAACTTGCACCAGCCAAAACATTAACTCTACAACACACATAATGGAAAGTAAGTAGAATGTTTCCATGTGTTCCCATGGGGGAGAGGGATAGCTCAGTAGTTTGAGCATTGGTCTGCTAAACCCAGGGTTGTGAGCCCAATCCTTATGGGGGCCATTTAGGGATCAGAGAAGAAAAAAAAAAGCAAGGGGGGGAACTGTCAGGTACAGTACTTGGTGCTGCTAGTGAAGGCAGGGGACTGGACTCAAGGTCCCTTCCAGTTCTATGAGATAGGTATATCCCCCATATATTATTAATTATTCATTTGTTTTCAGAACCCATTATCTTCAAGCAAATGTGCTTGTGTTTTCTTTTTTGATTGACATTGCACTTAAGTAACTGTTTTCTCTTGTAAACAATTCTCAGGGAAATCTTTTAACGAGAAAATTGCAAATGTTTTGGCATACCTAAAGAGTAGCACATATCCTGAAGGAATGAATAAAGCAGGCAGACTGAACCTGCGTCGATATGCTGTCAACTTTTCTTTGGAAGGCAAGAAATACTTTACTTAAGATAATACTGACACATTACACAGGAAACTTCAGCCTGGAAATGATGGTCCTGATGTCCCAACACTGGGATTATTTGGAGTTATAACCTTACCTTCAATGGGACCGGAATTGAGATCTCTAGTTTTAATGAAATTTTCCAGAAAATCTCCCTTGCTATCTATGCCAGTGGTGCAAGAAATGCAGTGTGCTTTGCAGTTATATGAGAAATGAGTATAAATTTTACCAAAAAAACCACATGACTTTGCTTCATTTCTTAAGTATGTTATCGTCTGCTGCAAGCACCACCAACAATCACTATATGTTCAATGAGCAAAAATTTCTAACTATACACTGAAATGTAATCCTTGTACTCAAGGGATTATGAACCATACTTTATATAGATGTCTTTGATAGGCATGTGCCTTATAATTAATGAATGGCTTTGCAAATAACCGGTTATATCTTAAGTGCAACACGTTGCCCCCACCCCAGCCCTGGCAGAAGCCACGTGGCAGCATGGGAAGCTCCTATGCCCGAACCCCTCTCCAACAGAAGTGCCTGGTGGGGCAGGAGAATCCACAGCACCCCGCTGCTGGTCCCCTAAAGAACCGCAGCATACAAACCCCTGCCACAGCCCTGGGACTGGAGGTGCTCTCACTCCCTGGTACAGCCCTGGGGCCGTGACACAGGGACAGAGCTTCTCCAGTCCTGGGGCTGGGTGGAAGAGCGGGGTGGGTGGGAAATGAGCAAAGGAGTTGTGGGGCAGGCAAAATGTTGGGGAGCCGACGTGGAACATGGCAGAGATCCTGGGGAAGAGGACTAAAGGGATAGGACCATATGTGGTGCAGCCAGCGGACAGGGTGGGTAGGGGCCCAACAATTGCTCTGGCCCAGGGCCCCCATAAACCTTAATCATCCTCCGTGCTCCATCTTCTATGATCAACAGAGGGGACATTGTTCCATTCAGCAAAAGGAAGAAAGGTTGTCGTTGTGCATACCGTGAAAGAAGCCCTACAACTCTTTGAAAGGTACCATGACAGTCCATTGGGTGGACATCTAGGAATATTCAAAACGAGGAATGTGCTGACATCAAAATACTATTGGCCAGGGATGACAAGAGACATTGCCAATTGGGTATGTAAAGTAATGAAACTAAATCGTGAAGAATGCTATTTACAATTGAAATAGAAGTTCAAAATGTATAAAAGAAATATAAAAGTTTATTTGGTGTGCAAATGTGAACTCAGTTCCCTTGCGATACTATTTCCATAACGAAATGTTCATGTCATCATATTGTTCCATCAAAAACAGGTTGCACGATGTCTTACTTGCCAGAAACAGTGAAAGGAATTAAATATGGATACCACCTTGAAAAGCATGAAGGTGAATTTTGTAATCAGACACATTATTGTTTATCATTATCCATTGTTATTTCTGCAATACGAGGCTTTGATTTTGAAACGAGTCCAATGCGTACAAGTGGCACAGCATAGTGCAGTAATTACCTCTAATGCGCCTTTGCACTGGCTGGGGATATGTCTTCAGCTTTATTCTTGTATTGTTTTCCATAACCCATTCCTGTACTTCTTTTTGATTGTTTGTTTGTTTTTAAGAGTGGGCTTTCATTCTGATTCTCTGACTGTTGTAACCATATTACACTGTGTACTCTGCTTATGACATATGGGTTTATTGAGAACATTTAGTAATAAACATGTGTAGTATGACTGTAACTGGTACCCTTGTATGTAGGTCACTCGCAGGGCCGGCTTTAGGCCAATTCCACCAATTCCCCCGAATCGGGCCCCGCGCCTAAGAGGGCCCCGCGCCCAGTGGCAGGGCCGCCGGGGGGGAGGGGAGAAAGAAGTGGCCAAGAATCCCTTCCCTGGCTAGAGGCTCCTTTTTAATTTTTATTCACCTGGTGGCACTCCGGGTCTTTGGCGGCACTTCGGAAGCGGGTCCTTCACTCGCTCCGGGTCTTCGGCAGCAGGTCCTTCAGTGCTGCCGAAGACCCAGAGCGAGTGAAGGACCCACCGCCGAAGACTAGGAACGCCGCCCGGTGAGTACAAGCCCCACGTGTTTTTTTTACGTGTTTTTTTTTTTTTTAGTCATCCCTGCCGGGGCCCCGTCGAAACTGTTCGAATCGGGCCCTGCACTTCTTAAAGCCGGCCCTGGTCACTCGGATCTGGGAATTGGTGGGAATGGATTTAATAGGACCATTACCAGTAACAAAGGATGGATACCAGTATATACTGACAGCCATAGATTATCTGTCAAGATGGGTGGAAGCCTTTCCACTTAGAAGTAAATCAGCATACGAGGTGGTAGAGAACATGTACAAATTGATTGTTCGACGTGGATGCCCAGAGCGGATACTGACAGATCAGGGTTCAGAAGTCAATAATAAGGTAATGACTGTTTGTTTTTTTTCTGGTTATTTGTACTATGTAGTCAAACTCACTATCAGGTCACTCATTGATCTCAAACAATCACCAACCTTTTTTTTTTTTATAAACTGCTGTTGGTCACCATCAGTGTTGCTATAACATTATTTTTTGGTGTCTTCATATCTAACAAAGAAACACACAACTACTTGTTTCCAAAACAAATATGAAAACATGGGCTATTCCGGTTGCTAATTACACATAAAAGTAGTGGCAAATACGAAAAGGAACATTCCTTAACACAAGTCTATATGTAAGTTTATGGTGTAACTTATTTTCTTTCAGTTTAACAAGTATTTTTGTGAAAGATTGGGAATAGAACGTAGCTTCACCAGCCCGTACCACCCACAAACCAATGGATTGGTTGAAAACCCTAATAAATCCATAAAAAGGTAAGTGAATGGGTGGGAATATTACAGAACTAATGGCAAGTGGAGTGTCCAATGCTAGAAAATGCAATTCACAAAAAAATCTTCAAAATCAATGTGTTGCCTTGAACGTCTTTTTAATTATGTATTACACCCTTTGGATTATGTATGATATGTTTCAACCAAGACTAAAAAAAAAAGGAACAAGTATAATCAAATCAATTTGCATTTGTTACAGGGGATTGCGGAAGATGGTTGATGATGACGGGAGTAATTGGGATAAATTACTTGACCCCATTTTGTTTTCTTTGCGGACTAAAGTACACGCAACAACAAAAATTTCACCTTTTCGACTAATGTTTTGTGAAGACCCACGTTTTCCAGAAGAACTCTCAGAGAATTACATGGTAAGTGTATGTTATTACCAGCACCTTTCATGTACACATGGCATTAACTGTGTCTTCATTTTACAAATACAACCCTTTCTCCATTATTTTACAAAGATCCCAGATCTGGATACACTTGGGGAAGATTTCTGCAAAGACTACAGCATCAATATGAAATCGAGACATGACGCTGACATTGCACTGGCCCTAAGTAACATTTCTAAAGCACAAGAAAAGCAACAAAGACATTATGCTAAAAGAAAGAATTCTAAATATGGGGAAATAACCTTTGCTGTTGGTGACTCTGTTCTGTTACTGAACGCTAGAAAGAGAACAAGAAAAGGAGCAGTACTGGAATCTAAGTATCAGGGACCATACAAAATTACGACCATTGAGGGTAAGAGAGTGAAATTAGAAACCATCTCAGGGAAACAGTTAGGAACCATGTACAGTATTGCACACTTAAAACCATTCAAAGAGCCACCAACATTAGCTGCTGAAAGCACATCAGAGGGAAAAATCAGAACTGAAATTGCAGTTGGTGACACTGAACCAGAAACACCCACAGAAGAAATTAGAAAAGTGGTTGGTACTGTATCTCATGACAGCACATTAAAAAACATAGAGGTCACAGCAATGGAAGAAGAGGAGTATATAGGGCAAAATGTTTCAAAGAATGATACAAGTGATGCGGATGACATTTTTGATGACGTACTTATGGAGGAGGTGGAAAACAAGCAATGGATTCTGAAAGGTAATTGGTTACTGCACCTTTCTTAAACAGATTAACATACTTCATAAATGGAACTATGTTAAAGGTTTTCATGTACAAAGTGGCTTCATTCACAGTAGTAAAACAGAAAAAGGAAAGTGTATTACCATGCATGTAATATGTGTTAATATGTTTTTCCTAGTCAAATTTGTAATGACCGACAAACACACAGAGACTGGAGGCCAAAGTGAGAAACATAAAATTGTATGGCTCCTCATTTCATTGCCTGAAACCGAGAAGCGGGATAAGTGATGAGGTACATTTAAGTAACACTAAACATGTATTTGTTAATGGGATTAACTCATCAAATATTATTGAAATTGTGCCTTTTCTTTCATCATGTGTTGTAGGTTATTGATGCATATTTGAGCTGTGTGAGTCGAGAAAGCAGATGGAAAGGTAGGCTACTTACTGTGATGGTACATGAAAGTATACATAGATTCAGTAAGTAAACAGTCACGTGAATATGTGGCACAACATATTGAAGACCAAATATCCTTGAAATATCAAAATAAACCTGAAATTGCAACATTTCTGTGTATTTACTGCTGCCAAACATTTACTGAAATGTATTTGGAGGTGCATATCGGACATACAATCCAGGGCCACATTCGTTTTGCTGTACGGTTCAGTGGGTCCATTAATTGAACACAAGTATGCGAACAGCTTAGTCGGTTTTTACATTAAGTAAGACCGAGCACATTGATTACAAATCCTTTTTTTTATAGAACTCTTATATATACGTATCTCATTTGTAACACTAAGGATCCCTTGCATGTCTGTCTATATTAACTTCATTATGTTCTTAACATGCCACAATTATTAATGCATTAATAACTTTGTTGAATGTCAACAGGTACAAGCCATCTCATCAGTAGTTTCTACTGTCATTCTCTCGGGCAGAGCTCCACAAATGAAAGTGAAGGTAAATGCTAACACACTGTCATACATAGAATGATCAAAGCACAATTTCATTCAGTGAGTTAAACACAGTGTGAAACAGCAAATACAGTGGTGTGTTTGATGTGGAGGAGTAGTCTAATAATACATGTAATGAAACTGGGAAATACAGTATAATGTACATTTCATTGTTTGCTTCACTGGAAACTATAATTGCATTTCTAATTTTTTTTTTTAATAAATACAGAGTGAATTACTTCAAAATGATATATTATTGCTTCCTTACCACCCACCAGGTCATTGAGTTCTTGCGGTAAGATGTTTTGTATTGCAGTTGTGGATTATGGTCAATAAATGTTATAATAAATAAGAGATTTGTAACACAACTATGGTAGCAGTGATATAATTTCCTGTGTTGCGGGTTTTCAGTGAGTTCAGTGCATGCAAATGAAAGTGGAATGTGAATGTTAAAAATAAAATGCTACTGTCAAGTTA